AGGGGCAATGGTTGAAAGAGAAAACAAGCTGAATCAAAGAAGAAGGACAAAGAATAGTGCATGAGAGCAATAGTTTCTGCAAAGGATGTATAGTGAGTCCCACCAAATGCTCCAGGCTATGCAGAAAGGGCAGAGCTGATTTGGTGAGCATGAGTCCAAGAATTGCACACTTCAGTCAGAGCTGAGGAGTGCCTCCGCTCTCTCCTCCAACTTCTCCTTACTCTATTTTTTTAACAAAAAGCTGACCCATTTAAAAATGAGTACCATGGGAGAACTAGAATAGAGCATGTGCTAAAATAATGTATTCTTTGACAAAAGAAAGCATTAAGTATTTTATAGGTCAGCATTGTATTAGGTGGCTTGGCTACACCACTGAGTAATACAAACACCTGCTCTCATGGAGCTTCATTTTAGTAGGGAAGACACACAATATACAATGAACATACAAAGCTAATTAAATTAAAGATGTTAGAAAGTAATAATGGTTACAAAAATTAATAGACCATGTAAGAGGGATCAGAAATGCTGGAGGAAAGGACAAGTGGCAGTATTAAATAAGACAGTCAGGGGAGCTACAGTGATCAGACAAGATCTGAGTAAATACTCAATGGAGACACAGAAACTAAGAAATCACATGTCTGAAAGAGCATTTTAGTCAGAGAGAAAGACCTGAGGTGTGGGTTCCTGAAACACTAAAGGAACATTAGAGCAGGAAAAACAGGCACAGATGAACAGAAATTGAGATCAGAAAGTTGATGAGGGTGCATGCAGGCAGGTGGGGGAGTTCTCAGATCAAGTAGGCCTTTGTAGACCATTGTGAGGACTTTGGTTTTACCCCCAGGGAAATAGGAAAGTAGTGTAGATTTCTGAGTAAACAAGTAACAAGATTTGGCTATTGTTATAAAAGAAACACTCTTGTCTCTCTGTTGAGAGTAGACTTTTGAGGGCAAATATAAATTCAGGAGGGCCAGTTAGAAGCTACTTAAGTAATCCATGTACAAAATATTGGGTAATGGTGGTCCAGGCAAGAGTGGTAGTTTAGATAGTAAAAAGTGGTGAGATTCTGAATATAAGTTGAAACAACAATTTCTGACAGATTGAAAGTGAGTAGCAAGGAAAGGAATTTCAAGGTTTCCAGCCAGAGCATATGGAAGGATATTGTCATCCACTAAGACAGAGAAGGTTGATGCTATTCAGCAGGTGTAAAGGCAGGGATCAGGAGTTCAGTTTGGAGGTGCTGATTTGAGCCATCTATTAGGTATCCAAGTGGCGATGTCAAGTAGGCCATGGAATGTATGAGTCTGGAGTTCAGGAGAGAGATCTGGGCTGGAGAAATAAATTCAGTTGGTGTCAGGTTCAGATGGTTCTCAAAGCCAGGATGAGCTCAGAGACTGATGAGTTCATCAGAGAATGAGTAAGAACAGAAGGGAAAAAATACCTAGAACTGAGTATGGGACACTCCAACATTAAGAAGTATAAAAGTACAAAGGGAAAAGCCTAGGAAAGAACACTGAAAAGTCATAGCCAGAAAGGAAAAGCCAGCAGGAAAAGATGGGCAGGTCTGCATTCTGACCCATGACGATAGCAATGTGGAGGTGATTAATAACCTTGAAATAAATATTTTTTATGAAGAGGAGCAAGGAAATAAAAGTGATTGGAGAAGCTTAAGAAAAAAAAAAAAATGGGCAGAGAAACATTGAAGAAAGTAAGGACAGACAAATCCTGCAAGGAGTTTGCTGTAAGGAAAGACCATAAATGGAGTATTAGGAAGTGGAGTCCAGAGAAGTTTTTTATTTTCATAATATCTGAGAAATAACGGCATGCAAGTATGTTGGTAGAAAAGGTTGATTACAAAGAAGCAAAGTGGAAAATTGCTTCTGCATATCCTTAAATAGTGGAGAGGGTTGGTGTCAACACTAGAGCAACAGGGATTTAGGTGGGAGCATGGATGCTCCATCTATGTAAGAAGTGGAAGAAAGAGTATGGGAGAGTGCATGCTGAGAGGCGGAATGGGTGAGACTAGGAGTTATTTCTGATTGCTTTAATCTTTTTTGGTGAAATAAAATTCAAGATTATACACTAAGAGCATGAGGACAGAGGCATTGGGGATTCAAGACAAAAGGAAAGATTTTTAGATAATTACTTGGGGTGGAACAGTAAACAGAATAAAAATCCAGAATATAATTGCCTAGGTGTATTAAAAAACTACTTGAAACTTGTGGTTATAAATACGAGTGAAACCAGCATAGTTATGACTGTATTATGGCTGTATTCAGATGCACAGCTACAGGTACAAAACAGGCTGATTTTAGTTTAACCAGACTTGAGATTGTGCTAAGCCAATATGAGGAATCAAGCAAAGGCAGAGGAGTCCGGGGTGGGTGTGAGTGATTATAATGAGTCACCACAGAATTGTTACAAATAACAAAGGGGGTGTTGGCATCAAGAAGAAGAGGGCCAGTTAAATGGTGGTCAGACTGGATGGAATTTTCACTGAAAGTATGTATGGGCGGAAAGCCATTTGGGGTCAGAGTAGTAGAGGGAGTGGACTGGAAAGAGGAAGTGACGGAGGGTGAAATGCATAGACTAGAGATAAAAATTTTTAAAAGAAGTCAGGCAAAAGACACCTGAAGACTATACAGCTATAAAGGGACTATTCAGGGAAACTGGAGAAGTCAGACAGAGACTCAAAGAAATTACAGACATGAAGTCTCTAAATACAGGCCAAAGATGATGACCTTAAAAGACAACCAAAAGAAAGGGATGAGAAAAAATTTTTAAAAAATATTTCAGAGGTGAAAGCCCTTGGAGAATACACACCAAATACTACAATAAATATTCAGGGATCTATGGGACAGAGTGGAGAAAACCATATACAATAATTAAGAATTATAATAAAAATATGATTAAAATATAAAAGCAGATATAGAAGATTCAGTGTATGTATAGCATATACTTTTAAAAAGTGAATATAGCTAATTCAAGGATAAAAGAGAGATTAATATGAGTATTTGAATAGAAAAGGTCATGTCACTTATAAGGAGACAAAACCCTGTGGTTGGCCAGAGATTTTTCTGCAGGAAGACTCAATGCCAGGAACTCTGGAGCACCATCTACAAAGTTTTAAAGGTCCTATAGTCCCAAAATTTTATACTTATTAAAGATATTCCTGAATAAAAAGAAAACAAACACTTTCTCAAATATGCAAGAAATTAGGGACCACAGACATAAAAGCCCTTCTTGATCAAAAATAAAATTCACCCAATAAAATAATTAATAAAAATTAACTCAAGAACACAAAAACCAGTGTCAATATTTGCTTATCCTTGACTCCAATAATATATAAGAAACTATAAAATATTTATATTATGGCTTCAGAGAAGGATGAAAATTTTATAATCCTTTAATGTGTAAAAATAGTATTACTAACATCTGTAAGGTATATGAGAGGAGGTGAGGTGGGAAAAGATATAAGAATGATGAATTTCCTCATCTTGTCTATTAACAAATCAACATAATCTGAAACTGAAATATGAAGTTAAAAATGGATTGTTACTCCAATAGTTAATTCTTTTAATATACTTTCCTCTTAAGTATATAGTATTCTTTTAGAAACTGTCATCTCTTGTGTTGAAGAATTTTAAAAAATCTCATTTCACATTATTTCATGATATTTCATTAAATTCAAGTGAAATTAACCTGAGTGTATTTTAAAATGCCACTATCCCATATTATCTTTCAATTTTTATTTGTCTAACTTTCCATGAAGAGAGATAGACTTATATGACATGCTTTTTATTAAATATTCATAATGATTTGGGAAATTTAATATGACTCAGTGGGAAAGTAAAGCACCCAGTGTTTAAAAGAATATTGAGAAACTGGAATTCTTATATACTGCTAATGAAACTTTAGGAAAATTTTCCTTGTCATAAAATTTTAAGTACTTTAGTATCTCATTTCCTTATAAAATGCATCTAGTTATCTATCTAGCCATCTTTCTCTATAGCTATATATTTAGGAGATATACCAAACTACTCCAAATTCTCGAGAGGTTATCACTGAATAGTAAAATTGTCTTTACATTTTTTTTCTCATCTGTAGCTGTTTTAATATCCTACATTAACTTGAAATATATTTCAATTCTAAAATGAACATGTTTTTCACATTTTTGAAATCAAGAAAAGCCATCAAAATCAGTAGTGTCTTAGATTCACTAAAATGTAATAATTTTATAATGGAAATATTAGAGTATTCCAAATAAAGGAGGAACGATGATTAAAGAGACATCACAGAGGACAACTAGTCTACGCACCTTGGAGGCGACTCAGACCGTTTCAAAGATCAGGAGAAGGTAACAGTTTGGTGGTAGGAGAGGCAGTTTTTGTGCAGGTTCAATCCAATTTAAAGAGGAAGAACATATTCAACAGGAAAGAAGTTATTTACCATAATAGGCAGATGAGAAAAGTGAGGGTTTGAGATGGAAAAAAAACACACAAAAAAACCCCGAATCTTTTCAGTAGCCTTTCATCTGAATTGAAGTGCGACACTGTGAGAACAGGCCTGCAGATGGGACGTCAGGATGAGACTGAGAAAGCACTGGACAAAGTGGTCTCAGGTGATCACACTCTCTTTCTGAAATGGAACCAAATTTTGAACCTATTTCTTGCCCCTGCAGGGCTGAATGTGTGTTATCCACAGATTTGATAAATATTAATTCCACAATTCTCACATAAATATAAATAATAATCTTATATTGACTTAAAAGTGACCCTCCTCTCTCTTCCTGCTTAATCTCTGCCATTTGCATTTTCATTCAAAACCTTTTCACCAAATATTAATATATTTTAGATTTGCATCCTTGCCTCCATTATGCCATAGGTAAAATATATTATTTTCTTTCCCTTGGACAACTTTTATTTTGTATCAGACTTTCTCAATACAAAGGGGAATTTTGGTACCTAAATGCACTACATGAACATTTTTAAGAATTGTCTTACCCAGTGAGTTTGACTGCATGTGTCTGAAGCTTTCGGTATTTTTCTGATTCTTCATTTGTGCTGGTCACATGTCTATATATCCCTGACTTATAATGGAAGAAATCCTCATGGACTTTCATTATGGCTAAAATAAAGCCGAACAGGAAAAACGACACAGTTAAAAACATTATCTTTTAAAAAATCCAGAAATTCTCACAAAACGATCAATGGATAAATTGCCAGGAGTTAAATTTAAGAAGGGATTTTGCAATACAGCTTAATTTTGATTCCTGTTTAACTTAATTGGCTGCAATATTTTCTCTTTTTTTTTAACTTATTGGGGTGACATTGGTTAATAAAATTATGTAGGTTTTAGGTGCACAATTCTATAATACATCATCTGTAGATAGCATTGTGTGTTCCCCACCCCAAGTCAAGTCTCTGTCACCATTTCTCTCCCCTTTACCCTCTTCTGCCTCCCTCCACCCCCTTGCCCTCTGGTCATCACCATGCTGCCGTCTGTGTCTATGAGTTTTGTTTTGTTTTTGTTTAATCCCTTCACCTTTTCCACCCAGCCCCCCTCCCTCCTTCCCTCTGATAGCTGTCAGTCTGTTCTCTGTGTCTATGAGTCTTTCTATTTTGTTAGTTTCTTTGGAGAGTATTATGCCAAGTGAAATAAACTGGTCAGAGAAAGACAAGTACTGTATCATATAATGTCACTTATATGTGCATGCAATATTTTCCTGTTTTAAGAACAACTTTCAGCTGTTTGAGTGTTACTTATGTATACATTATTCCTTTGAAACACTATATATTCTTAATTGACAGAAGCACTATAACCAGGAATTGAGCCTCTTGCAGCAAAGAACCACTACCCTTGGCTAGTGATTTGCAATTTCTCCATTAAACTTAGGCCTCAGCACAAGCCTCTTGAAACTCCAATTAAGCTAGCAGAGAAGGGTGAGCCTAGCAAACTGGGCTTAAAGTAATGGTCCTTAATCCTTAGAAATAAATACAAATCTTTCCTTGGTGAGCTTGATAAAAAGAAAACCCTTGGCAAAAGACTATTCTGACAGGCTTCCACCCTAGCAGCTCTGGAGAGCTGATTCGATGCTGTATTCTTTAGAAAGGAAGAGCTTATACTTTATAACGCTCTTCTTCATTCCCTCACCTAGATTACTTCTTTTCTGTATTGTGTACTTTGTTCAAGGGCTTGGGCAATTCAGAGTGAAGACTTTAAATTTCTAAATGTGAACTGAAAATACTTTTAGTTGGGACAAAATAAGCACCCTTCATAACAGGGTGCAATGTTTGTCTACCTTAGTTGACGTGCATTTTAAATAAAATAGGAACTGAGGTCACTGGCATTTGGTAGATACTAAAATGAAGTTCCTCCTCCAAAGTCAAATATAACTTTTTAATGTTCCACTTTTTATTTCATTTTTAATGTCCCATGCCTTTTCTAATGCTGTTCAAATATTCTCAAAAGAGGTTAAGTTTTCTTTATCGACTTTTAAACACATTTCCATTGGTTTTTAAGAATTTATATAACTGTTCTCTATGCAGATCTTTGCTTCTATTCTCTTCATAACCCAAACTTATTTTTAACTCTATGTATTTTAGAAGAATGCAAAAATGTTATTTATTCAGCATTCTATTGCGTTTTACATCCTTTTGTATCGAGACTGGGGAAAAATGCAATATGTTAGCCAGGCAACAATAGGTGGACAATCACTGTGCATCTACAGCAAGATGGGTCAATCAGCATTTATAAAAATGGGAGGATATTGTTAGTGGTTCTCCTCTTCTATAGAACCATTGGCTTCTTTAGCTTTTCCCAACTTTCTCTTAACCACTATGAATAAAATATGTACTTCATTGCTGAAAAAACTGCCAACTAAAGAAACATGGGCGAGAAGCCATCACAATGAACTTGAAGGCAGCTCCTTCTTTCAGTCTCTGACACCCAAACAGACTTGATGAACCCACAAACATTTAACTATATAGCTACTGTAGTGCAATTTTATTTCTGGGAAACTGCAGCCCAACCGACATACAGAATTATCATATGCTTGAGGCCAGGGTGAAGCTCTCCTTCACTGCAGCTCTGTCTTTCGCTCCTGGCTCAGGCTGGCAGGAGGTAGGTTCTCAACAAACATTTGTTCAATAAATGTTGAATACTTTGCATTTCAAGTTTATTATTTTCAAACTGTATCTATTCTTTTTTTTTTACTTTTTTTTATTGATTTCAGAGAGAAGAAGGGAGAGGGAAAGAGAGAGAGAAATATCAATGATGAGAGAGTCATTGATCTGCTGCCTCTTGCACCCTCCCACTGGGGATGGAGCCCGCAACCCGGGCATGTGCCCTGACCAGGAATCGAACTGCTATCCCCTGGATCATAGGTCAATGGTCAACTACTGAGCCTTGCCGGCTGGGCCTCTTTATTTCTGAATTATGTGAAATTCATGAACATTTCACTGCATGACCATAAAAGAAACCTAAAGTGTTCTGTTTTAAATAATTATGATCCAAATTTCTTTTGACGGGGAGAGAGAGAGAGAAAACAAACTTATTACAGTAACAATGACCTGAAGATTCTGAGATGGTAAAGTAAACTTGCTCAAAGTCATTTAAGTAGCCAATGTGGAAGTTGAATTTTTAAATTCATCCTTGAGTTCAGACGCCTGTGCTCCTTCAAATTTGTCACACACACTCCACTTACTGAGGCATATATTTAAATTACACATGCATTGCCCTTTTCTTATAAGAGCCAACAAAAATGATACAATTGTAAAAAAAAAAAATTTTTTTATATTTATTTGTTTCAGGTTTTGTTTAAGGCTCAAGGATTTTTAAAAATTAAACATGTCCCAGGATATGTTTAGTGTAAGCTTCAGTTTCTCAATAAATATTTAGTGGTGATAACAATCAATACACATTATTCAACACAATTTTAAAATCAATGGTTCCTGCTAGACGTTGAATCAATACTAATTAGATCAGCATTCAGAAAAACAGAAACAAAAACTGGCCAATACTTCCTTAGGTATATATAAAATATTTTAAATTTAAGTTATGGTTTATTTCAATTTCTTTTGTTAATTTAAATGTATTTGGTTCATCCCATTACATTGAAAATCTATTTTGGGCCTTTCAGTGTTCAGGATCCTGTATTTCCACTTTAGACCTCACAAGATTTGTTCTTCTATGCCCTTCAAGGCCATGTTTAATACAGAGCATATAAGCTGTGAATGTATCTTTAGCTGTGCAAAATAAATATCAATAGATAAGCAGAGAAACTATGTATCAGAGATATCTTAAAAATCAGTCAATGTACAGTAAGTTAGTATATTATTTTCTTTTTTACTGTTTCCTATCCATAACACAAAATTGATCTAAATAGAAAGCCTTTTATAAAATACAAAATCATACTGGCTTATTTGATTTGTCTTGAGTTTATAGAAACAGGAAAGTATCTACTTTACTTTTACTGCTAAACCTCAATTTTTTTTTTCCAATTCATTACCTAATCCATTTAAACTGAAGGTGAGAAAATGTTTAGTTTTCTATGTATGAATTTTAAATATGAGCTCCATTGCTTATATTTGACTGTCTGCTTGGTTCATAATCATTTTAGAAATATTTAGCAGACTTTCATCAAATGTGTCATTAATATTTTAAGAATTAAATTTATGGGTGAATCTATTTTTTTAATAAAATGACAACTGATGAAGTTATTATGTAAGTGTATTTCCCATGATTGCACTGGCCTTAGAACTGTTGAATCCTATGAACACTCTAAAAGTAAAAATTTTCTTTCTTTTATTAAGCTCCTTTTACATGAGCTAAAATGTAATGTTGCTTATTAAAGGATAAATAACACACAACCATATTTTATCTAAGCTTACCTTGAACTGGTCCATTGTGCATGATTTCTCTCATTATTTCAGTTTCCTAGAAGAAAAAATATCAATGAGCATTGTTATTGTTATCAGAGGATACTAATGCCATTGTCTGGTATTTAATGTTAGGTGCTGTAGAATCAATTTAGGAGTTACACAACCCAATGAGCCTTGACCAGTTGCCATTCATCATGCTTTTGAAATACCCACATGTGAAATGCCCCACTGATGAAGGTGCCAAAAACAAGATGCACCATTTATTTCATTGACTTGAACACTGACAATAATTTTGTAATGGAGAGAAGATATAATAACTTTTTATGGTCATAAAAAAAAGTAAGTTAAAACCATGTTTAATCATTGGCAATTAATGCCATCTCCATTCTCTTGATCACAGGAGCAATTCCAGATGTGTGTTTAGTATAGTTCATTAATGTAGATTTAGCATACAAATGTTGCTACCCAGTGTGTAATACAGCCCTTAGTAAAGAGCCAGGCTATTTATTCATTCGTTCATCTATGCACATGTATCACAGAGTACATATCACTGTAAACCAAGATAGAAACAGGCATTGACCCTGAACCTATCCCCAATGTATTTACTGTCTGTGGGCTAGACAGAGAGTAGCACAACTAATTGCATTACAAATTGATGAGTTCTGTTACAGAGGCAAGCTCAAAGGGCCATAGATGCAAACAAGGAAGGGAAATTAATCCTACCTAGGAGTCAAGAAAAACCTCACAGAGAAGATCAAGTTTTGACCTAGGCGTTGACACATGTGTGAGATTTTACCAGATGGAAATAGGTGATATAAGAGGAATCATCCCTTGGCTAAGTAGAGAAGCATGAAAGAAAATGGTGTATCTAGGAAGCAGACAGTGGTCCTTATGTCAGAAGCCCTATGGGTGGGTGGAAGGGTAGATGCTGGCCAGACAAGAGTCTGTAATAGCACAGGTCAGAACCAAATCATGAAAGCTTGTATGCCGTGGTAAGAATACCAAACTGTATTCTTCAGGTAACTGGGAAACTGAAGGTTCAGATATTCTGAAAGTGAGAAGATCTGGGTAACACTGACATGATGGAAAATTTGCCAGTGCTTTCAACATGGCAAACTAGAATCCAAAGGTGTCTTTTTCCCATTACAGCTGTTTACTTTAATTATTTTGTGGAGTAAGGCAAAGGATTGATAAAATGAGCTACAACCACAAATAAAAAGTCAGTTAAAAAAGGTTTTATTTAGTTTTGTCAAGTATAATTAATTAAAACATAATTTAAAAACTCTATTTCCATGGGCATTTTTAAATGTAAGTCAATCATTTATGCTGCCAATATTACAGAGATCAGACCCAAACTGGAAATCTTTAATGGGTACTTTAAGAATACCAAAATTAGCCCTGACTAGTTTTGCTCAATGGTTAGAACCTTAGCTGCAGACTGAAGGGTCCCGGGCTTGATCCCATCCAAGGGCACTGTACCTTGGTTGCAGAATTGAGCCCTGGCCCTGGCCGGGGCTCGTGTGGGAGGCAACCAATGGATGTGTCTCTCTCACATCAATGTCTCTCTCTGTTTCTCTCTGTCTCTCTCCCTTCCACTCTCTCTGAAAAGCAATGGAAAAAATATCCCCAGGTGGGAATTAAAAAAAAAGAATATAGAAAATTTTACCTGAAAACATAGTATTATCTTAGACTGTAATAGTTTTAAATAGTTTTTAAATATTTTTAATAACAGCAGAGCTATATATTTTTGAGCAAGTTAACCCCTGTTAATTCTTGCCACTTAGACTTACATTGGAAGAGACTCTGTATGGAGGAGAACACTGGTAGATCCTATTAGATTTCTCGATGTTGTTGGGACATGGCTTTGTGGCATGCCGTTTTCCCCGCCCATCAGACCTACTGGCCATGGCACAGGCATTGTTCGTAGCATTTTGGTCCTTGAAAAGTGGATAGCATGCATGGGATACCAGTCTGTGAGGAATAAGCAAAATAGTAAAAGTAATACTTAGGAAAATGCCATAACATTCCATCTATATGCAATTTTACTGAATTAAACATTCTGTTTACTTACACGTGTAACTCGCAAAATGTTGACTGATCCTAAAAGAGCAGTCTACTGATGTTACACTCTCCCCTGCCTCCCTCTTATTTCCTCATTATAATTTTTTTAAATCTTGCTTCAATCCACTTTAATAAGTAATTCTATCCACATTATAGCATTTCCTGAAGGTGAAAAGTGATTTTCAATAAAATCTGTGGTAATATTTATAGGGGAAGTACTTCTTCATTCTGCATCTATAATTATGCATAATGTACAAGAGCCAAATTTAATATAAAAGGACAATGAATTTCATTATACTTAGATGGGGTATTCTGATAAATTATATAAGCTTTAGAATTAAGGGTATTTTTTTACATTTTTATTAAGTTATAGATACCCTCTCATAAGACTTGTATTATGTGTCTATATTCATAATACTTTGGAGAAATAGTATATGCTAATATTTAAAGTTAATAAAATAGAAAGTTATCTGACATTACACAAAAGATAAAGAAAATAATTTCAATCCCTGATTTTGAAAATGAACATAGATAAGTACAAATTATTTGGCTCCAAGTCTAACATAATTCATTGAATAGCGAAGCAGATGTTAAGAAAAATAAAACAATGGAATTGGTTTTATAGATATTCAATGTTGAATTGGCCATAGAAATATACATTAGGATTGGTTCAAAATAATTCAATAGTGTTCAATAGAGTAAGAAAATCTGGGCAAAGAGCATAATGAAAGCAAACTCATTAAAAACCTAACCACTTCAAAAAAATAAAATAAATCTTGCATTAAATGGGATGAGTCTAATCCATTGGATTGTGTCACCCCAAATTCATGTGTTAAAGCCCTAATCCCCAATGTGATGGTATTTGGAGATGGGGCCTCAAGGAATGATTAGTTTTAATTGAGGTAAAGAAGGTGGGACTCATAATGGGATTCATGTTTATTTAAGAAGAGGAAGAGACAGGAGAACTCTCTCTCTGCCCTGTGAGAACACAGTGAGAAGGCAAGCCAGGAAGAGGGTTCTCTCTAAAAACTGAATTGGCTACATCTTGATCTTGGGTTTCTCAGTCTCCAAAACCATGACACATTAACACTTATTAAGACACCCAGTCTATGGCATTTTGTTATGTTAAACTAAGCAGACTAATACAATGAGATTTAGTTGGGTCTCAATGATCATTTATATTTTTAACCTCCTAAAGGGCCTTAATTTTTATCATAGTACAAAGCAGAAGCCAAACAAGCACTAACATACCTGAAAGTAGCAGCCCAAGTAGTCCATTCTAAGCACTACTTTATAGGCAAAACGTGAAAAAAAAAATTAAAGAAATTTATTGCTACCCATCAATATCTGACCCCCACTCTTTCATAGCCCATATCTGTTCTATAGCAGGTCCAGAGCACTCGGTGGATGAGGAATGAAAGATGAGCAGCACATATGTGTACTACTAGCTATCACCTGCAGTTTACTTACTTAAATAATTCAACTCTTAAGTAGATGAGCTCCCCAAGTAGACACAAGGGCACTGTGTGGGTATCAGAGTATATGAGTAAAGAAATGCAACCTGCCTTTTCTCATCAAATGGGATGGGGATATCGATGAATTGAGGTAACTGTAAATTACTTCTTTATTTTATTCATTGGATTATTTTTGTTTAAAATATGTCTTTATTGATTTCAGAGAGAGAAAGGGAGAGAGAGAGGTAGAAACATCAATAGTGAGAGAGTCATTGATCGGCTGCCTCCTGCACGTCCCTGACTGGGGATCAAGCCTGTAACTGGGCATGTGCCATGACCAGGAATCAAACCTGGATCTCCTGGATCATAGGTCGACACTCAACCGCTGAGCCATGCCATCTGGGCATATTCATCTGATTCTTAACCTAACTTACCTGACATTATCTACTCATCTACTTGGGTAACTGAAAAGGTGAATAGAGGTATCTGTGATATCAATTACTCTATTCACTCCATGGGGATTCAGTGGAGCAACAAGAAGGCAATGCTAACTTGAGTATTTCTATTAATTTAGGAAGNGCTCCATGGGGATTCAGTGGAGCCATTTGGCTCAGAGCAACAAGAAGGCAATGCTAACTTGAGTATTTCTATTAATTTAGGAAGTATACACTCTTCAAATAATTGCTTCCAATAGTTTATAAACTCAATAGATACCAAATATAGCGTACATTTTTATAGATGTAGCATTTATATTTGTACATATTTTTGGTAAAAATTTTGAAATATATATATTTTCCCTTATTCTAACCCTAAGCAGCCCTCAGAAGAATCCTAGAAATACAGGTTGGGCAGCTATTTACCCACGTTTTCTCAGGTACCACCACGCCCTATCGATGCTTCCACTGTTGCATCCGTGACGGTTCTTAGCGCAGCAAGAAATCAAATTCTGAGGAGACAGATTGGCTGTGTATCGACCCTTAGACTGAATTGCTATTCGGTCAGCAGCCACACCTGTTTCAAATAAAATGTTGATTAATATTCAAATGGCACATGGTATTTCTAATAACTTACATACCTCTTTTTATTTGAACACTAAGCTAGTCTTCTAAACTTTATGTAATTTAAAATTTAGGCAAGATATCTTAATATATTNCTACATACCTCTTTTTATTTGAACACTAAGCTTCTAAACTTTATGTAATTTAAAATTTAGGCAAGATATCTTAATATATTTTTGTATTCCAATATGTCAGCTGTCACAAATTCAGTCATAATTTTTGTCTGATTTTGGTATTGCCCCATTGTCTTATCAACCTTAGAGACTTTTCTATTTGTTTCTTTCATGTTCTATATACTTCTGAATTCTTCATTAAGAAATCTGTCAAATGAAACTCTTTGGGGGCCAGGGCTATATATGACTTACATTTGTATCTCTTGCACCTAGAACAGTATCTTACATATAGTCATGGGTAAATATATATTTTTTGAAATGAATGTAACTAAACTAAGAAAATCAGTAAAACTGATTATAGAAACATTAACCAGAAATTCATCTATGTTAATCTGATATTTTGGAATAAGTTGAATTTTTGGTTTTTAAACTAGTATCTAGTTTAACTGCCCATGAGACCATTCTTAAGTTAGTCCAGACTAATATGATTCTATCTTATAAAATATCTAAAAGCCACATAGCACACTTTTATGCTTTTAATATTCTTGAAAATTATGATCCTAATCTTATTTCAGTAGACATAGAATTTATATACATATATATACACATACATATATACATATATATATATATACATATATATATACACCTTTTATGATTGAACCTTACATTCTTCTGTTTAAATAACTTCCGAGCATGGTTGTTGTTAATCAATTTATCCCTTTTCCCAACACATATTTATTGACTACCTACTAGAAGACAGCTGTGTTAAGCACTAGAAATTACAATGACAAACAAGAAACAAAAGAGTCATAACTAATCAACCAGTAGAAGAAAACTATAGATGTTTTCATTTTGATCATGCTACCATGATAAACTAATATGAGTAATGAGATTATAAAAAAAAAATTGGAGCACGTGCCATTTTGGTACAGATTGTGGTGGTGTTGTCTGGTATAGTTTCAGTGTAGATGTTTAATTTGTTACTTTTAATTAAAGGCACCAAAGTCATAACAGTTCTTCTATCCATCAAGTTTTCTCAGAAAAAAGTTATCATTTTTGCTCATCAAAATTGTCTGGGTACTAGAACCCCTCAAAGTGCTAATATAGAATTATTCTAGAATAATTTATTTTAAAATAATTCATTTACACATGTATTTCTGTATATACATGGTTTTTATGTAACTACAGCATATGCTCATTTCCATAGTTCAATTGCTGGCACATTTCAGATGCTCAGTATGTGTTGAATCTATAACCTCCTACCTCCTTCTCGATTCCCAACTATTATTGTGCTAAGACATATTTCATAGGAGCAAATGACATTCTACTACCACATCTGCTCTCCTCAAGAAAACCATTCCCTACTTCATAAACGAAAATAGATATCCTTTGATGCTTTGACTTTCAGTACAAGGGATCAGAATCAAATATAAATTTTTGAAATGTTATTGTAATTATTCTTTAGCTTAGAATATACTTTGCAATGTAGAGAAACAGCGTTCAAGGAGTCAGAAACTTGGCTTCCAGGATCATTTCTGATACTGCTTGGCTTTCAGCTCTGGGAAAGCCACTTTACCTATTATGCCTATTTATAAAACTAAAGACTTAAAAAAGGTGACCTCTAAGGTCTCATGAATCTGGAGATTTCAACTAAAGGACAAATAGTTTAAATTCTGATGGTCCACAATATGTTGTTCTTATACAGACATTTCTGAATCTCAGTGAAGGTTTAGACCAAATTCACCAGAAATACTTAGAAAATGTCAGAAGATAAAAGAATGACTCAGTTCAGCAAATTGTTTCTGCACTCTTTTTGAAAACTTTTATTGGGCTTTACCTCTGAGACACACTCTTATTTTCTCTGCTTATTTTATTCTGTCTCCAAATTTTCTCCGTGGCTTGTATCACTCCCAACTCCTTCACCTCTTCTTCAGCTTCTGACATCTTGCTGGAATTTTATTTGACTAAATAACTATCGCTTTATAGATGTATCTATTTCTAATGTCTTATTTATTCCATTTTATAGCTTTTAGCTTCTTTGAAAGATAAATTTTCTTATTTTAACTACTACTTCCTGATACAATTTCTAGATCTTCACAAGAACCTAGTTTCTTCTTTTCTTTACCTAACACATTAAAAAGGATGGCACTGGCCTGATTTTTCCTTGCTGAATACATAGGACACGAAACTGGGTCCTCTGAAGCCCCCAAAGTGTTGAAAACCCTCTTTCTAGTGTTTTGGGGACAAAATCAGGCTTTGTCTTGAGCTGAGGCTTTCTGTGGGTCTGTGACTAGGGACCTAAAAACGCACTGTCCAAATCAGCCTAGCAAGCTTGCTTACTCTCAGCATTTTACCACCAGTATCTTTCCTAGGACATCTTCAGAAATACCAGTCTAACCTAAAGTTAAAGCAAAATGCTTATATATCACTTAGGAGGTGTAATACATTAACCGCATGAATATAAAATGACAAATGATTTATCTGATTAAGTCTCTCTCCACCCATCTGGAACAGGGCTCAAAGAGGTCCCCTATGGATCCCTAATGTGCTGAGGACAGACATCAGATAGTCTGGGAGTATTTATATTCTGGGGAGAGGAGTAGGACGCAGCTTAGAGTTAATAGAGGGAGCCACTCCAGAGGTGACCTTGGCTACTGTCATTATTTCTAGAACAAACTAACTGATACTACGAAGTAATAATATTTACACAAAGATATCAGCATATTTCTGTGCCAAGGAATGCCCCTCTTCAGAGCTGGCTCCTCTAGGAGCCTATGTACTTATTTCACAATGCTTTCAATGCTTAGACTGTTTTTGAGTACTCTTTTGTAATTACCTTTAAAGCTTAGAGCATAGTTTTATGAAGATCTTTGATAGCAGCCAATAAATATTATGTTAGTGTCAATTTAATTGCTGGAATAAATACAACAAGCACTCCTTTGGGATAATTTGGACACCAAATCTTGGCATTAAACTGAATATTGATTTACTGGACTTGTGAACCTATACAAAAATATCTATAAAAGATGTATTACTATACTTTTTTTGGAATGATCAGCAATACTAATTTGTAAGTTACTCTCATTAAAAGACTGGATATATTACATTAGACTCAAACTATATATTTGTTTTTACCTACAATGATATTAAACCCACTTAACCCATTATCAGTTAATTCTGGTCTTACTTTATATCAAATTAGTTTACCAATTTAATATATTTTTTTTAATATTTTCAAAAGAAAATAATTTAAGAATTATATAGGTTTGTGTATATTAGTATTATATTATGAATGAAAAGGAACCTTACATTCATTCCTCTTATTATCTGGCCTTAACTTCCCAAGGACAAAAATATTTAGCAACTTTCCTTTGTTGCTCGTTTGATTTACTCTCTAAAATTAAACTCTACATACCAATTTTCAGAGTAAAATGGATTTTTATATAATCTTCAGGTTGCTTTCTCTGAAGAATAAGATTTTATTTTAATTAACCAAATGTTAATATTTTACATTTTAAAACCTTTTAATTACTGTCCCAAGATCTAGAGTCAAAGAGAGAATTTATAAGGAAGTAATTAAAATGACTTTATTACTTGCAGTGGAAAAAGCCCATGACGCAGCGCAATTTTTTTGATCCAATGGGCCATGAGTCCAGCCAGGCCATTTGTAAGAAGCAACAAAAAACTCTGGAAGGTCAGTTATTGCAGGTAAAGGAGCCTAAGGAAGAAGCACAGATGTGTCATATTTTTTCAAATGTATCCCAATAACCATTAGAGGAAAATTCCATATCCTTTTACGTTTATTATTGTTTTTTATTTTGTACATTTACTCTTTCTCAACAACATCACTGAAAAGCATTAGTTATGTATGATTTCTAATTCATATATGTTTAAAAATGGCAACTCAATGTGGGGAATCATAACATAATATAAAGTCATAACAACAATACACAGAATGCTTTTTCTGGGTTACCACACAGTACAATAATTTCTGCCAATGTTTGTCATCTTAAATCAGAATTTTGGTCATCCTGTGAAAGCCTGCATGGTGTTATTTAAATTTGGCTTCATAAATAATATTTACTTCTATGTCTCTCCTATGTTGGAGAATGTGTGAAATTAATTTTGAAACAATACATTTGTGGCAACTATGCATTAACACACTTGGAGCCCCAAGATACACCAATTTTACACCAGTTATTGGGAAACAAAAGTGGGACAAATTGGTTGACATTTATAAAGCCTTTGAAGATTAAAAAATACTTCAGAAAGTGTGTAATACCAAATGTACAACACCATTATGTCTTAAGAGAGCATGTTAAAGTCCTGACAGAGTCAATTTTCAGCTGCTATCTTTCCAAGAAAGCAAATTAAATGTTATAGACCTTGCTCTGTTCATGTCACTCAAAGAAAATCTAAAACACAATGCCCTGTTCTTTCCCAAGCTTTACTAAAGAGTGTTAACTTTCACTTCCATAAAAAAATCAGAACTCAAACCAAATAAGAATCAATTATTTTTTATCACTTATGTATACATACATGTTCACATACACATGCATCACTTTTGAGACTGCTTTAAAGTTTTTAAAATATTTTAATACTCAGTATTTTCTTTTGTCTTCTCAATAGCTCTGATATAATCAGGGCAGATATTACTATTTTATGAGTGAGGAAATAAATTTCTAAAAGTTAAATGACGTGCTAAGTCCTCTCAGTTAAATAAGAAATAACCCTTAAACTAGACCCAGGTTTTAGAATGCTTAACAGTATGCTCCATGTAGCATTTCCCTACTTCATCATGAATACATGGATGCTGCAACAGAAGTAAAATATCTGTGAAAGTTAATTGTCGATCTATTTAAAAGTTTTGTAATTATGCATTGAGCAAGTCAGGCTACTGATCCAACTTTTTGCAAACAAAATATTTCTGATAACTATATAATACCTTTAAGACTAAAGTAAAATTGAAAATTTACATGTCTGCTTGAAGAGCTACCCATCCAAAATATTTATAAATTTGAAGTTTAATGGGAAAGCTCAGTTTTGATTTAAAAAATTATTATCACCTGATAAGAAAGTTATTAAGTCCTGATTTGCATTACTAAAAACACTGCTGTTTAGATGATGGAAGAAAAGTACAGAAAATGTTGAGGGGATCACAGTAGGTGCCTGCTAATTTTAGATTATTATGCCATTAGATTGACCGCACTGCAAAAATTTATAGTTGGAGCAGAATACATTTACTGCTCTGAGTAGATAGTTTCCAAGATAGAGAATCACTCTCCAAAGGTGTCTAACAGGGACAGAAATACAATAGTCCCTCCTTATCAGTGGTTTTGCTTTCTGTAGGTTCGGCTACCTAAGATCAACCATGGTCCAAAAATATTACATGGAAAATTCCAGAAATAAACAACTGGTGAGTTTTAAACTGCATGCTATTCTGAGTAGCATCCTGAAATGCTGCACGGTCCTGCTCCTTCCACCTGCGATGGGCATCATCCCTTTGTCCAGTGCAGCCACACTCCCCTCCCACTGGTCACTCAGTGTAGGCTCCCCTCCCACTGGTCACTCAGTGTAGGCTCCCCTCCCACTGGTCACTCAGTGTACGCTCCCCTCCCACTGGTCACTCAGTGTACGCTCCCCTCCCACTGGTCACTCAGTGTAGGCTCCCCTCCCACTGGTCACTCAGTGTAGGCTCCCCTCCCACTGGTCACTCAGTGTAGGCTCCCCTCCCACTGGTCANATATGCTCCCCTCCCACTGGCAATCACATCAGGTAGCAGACAGAGACCAAGACAACATTCACATAACTTTTATTACAGTATATTGTTAGAATTGTTCTATTTTATTGTTATTTTCGTTAATCTCTCCCTGTGCCTAATTTATAAATTAAATTTTGTCATAGGTATTTATGTATAGAAAAAATAGAGCATTTATAAGGTTCAGTACTATTCGTGGTTTCACACATCCATTGGGGGTTTTAGAACATATTCCCCATCGATAAAGGGGGTCTACTTTATATATTTTTTATATAATCTTCATACCTTCCAATTTTATTATTGGCTTATAATGGGCTTTTAAGCACTTATGATACTAAGTTGCCTCAAGTTTCCAAAAAAGTAGGTGTCTTGTTACTTTATGTACCACTTCATAATTCCTTTTTAATAACATAGCTAGGGTATTTCCCTTCTGTGCTGAAGCAATAAAAATATAAGCATAACTTTAAACACACATCAGCAGGGGTGAGTTATTTAGAATTTGACTTCCACATTCCAAAGCCCCACCAGAGAGCTTTGTGCATGGGAGGGATAGAAGATACCCATCTATCTGTCTGGTAGATTTCAACTCTTTAAAAAATCAGTGTTTCCCCTGTGGGCACATTAAGTTAAATAATGATACCAGCCCACATTGTTCTTTTTGCTTTTACAATTTGTTGTTGAAAAATAAAAAATAACATTGACTAATCCTTCTCAATAAGCTAAGGCAGTAGAGAAAAAAACAAGCAAAATAACATTTTTATTAAAAACATTTTTACCAACCCACTAAGCCAGATCAACTCATGAAGCTCACCTCTTAGATCTTTCAAGACTTTTTACCACTTTATCTAATATTGCTGTTCCTAAAAATAAGCCCATAGGATTTAAAGCCCAATGGGCATATATTGCCTTCTAATTTTATTTGCCTTATGATATCATATAATCTGATATAATGAATACAGAGGACATTTTATATCTCATTATAAGTTATTTTTACATTAAATTATTACATAATTTCCCTCCAAAGTGAATGGTTTTAAGAGCTTATAAATAAGTGACACAGAATAATAGCTTGGAATTGGTAGTAAAATCTGGCTTTAATGAATGATACTTTTTGTTTGTTTGTTTATTTGCTTGTTTTGGGTCAAAGGACAGGTTAAAGCAAAAGAATCAAGAAGAGCTGAGAGTAACAAATTCCAAAATGACAGTGGCACAAATAGAAATCTATATTTTAACAAGATTTACACTGTTACATATGGACATTTTTTAAGTCTTTTAATTGTAATGTTGAAAAAAAATCAGTCAGTTATTTCCAAATGAACAGTAGTCAAGTTTGAGGTTAAATTTGAACAGTCTCCCTACTTCAATATTTCCATTTAGAAATGACTGATTAAAGATACTGTGAGCAAATATAAAAATCAAATGCAATGGTTCACACTGGAAAAATTTTACAGTAATTCCTGCATTTAATTCAATCAATACCTCTGAAAGAGTAATGGATACAATCAGAGAGCAGCTTGTGAACAAACTAATCAAATTCTGGACATTTCGGAAGCTGTTACTATGAATCCATGTCTACACCATATTGACTATGTGAATCAGTCCCAGTATCTCTAGTCGTACTTCCCCCACTGAAATTTGGATAATCAGAGTGACCGGAGAATCAAAGGATGGTGACAGAGAATATCATTCTGTTCTGACCTCCAGATCCAAAGCCATGCATACCAAGACATTTCTTCTAAACTAGTGGATGTTGGAGAGAAAAGGGCTAATTTTCTGGCTGCTATAGGCAAAATAAATTTTTCATCTTTAACAATAGTTGCCTTCCAGCCTTAACTGTGGAAGAGTTGTGCTCTAGTTTCTACTTGTAGAGTAGATTTTCAATGATCTACTTCTTGTAAATAGCGATATTCAGGGATCACGCTGTAGCCGGTAGTGCTAGTTCTCCAGCACCCCCTGCATAGGCTTTCCCTTTATTCGTAGCAATAACAATTTTATTTCAATACACAGAAGCTTAGAAAAATTACTCCATTCCCTAGACCCCTTTGGCTACCAGCCGTGGCTACATTACAAACTTCTGGCCTATCGGATGTAAGACCAAGTGCCATTGGCAGTGTCTGAGAACTTTCCTGAGGAGACATCTGGCACTTTCTTTCACCACTTTTGGTTGATCTTGTTTTCTTTGACTCCTGGTAGGAAGGTGGGCATTATAGATGAACATAGAGCAGCTTTCATGAACCATTGCGTGGCCTTGGATATGAAGGCTCGGGAACATGGCACAAGAAGGAAGCCTGGATACCCAACACCAAGAAATGCAACTCTAGTGGAGGACCACCCACCTCCAGGTTTGTCGGTAAGAGATCAATTTCTATGCTATTTCAGCCACTACCATTTGTCACTCTCAGATGAGCCTAATCGTACCTAAAACAGTACACACAACGGACATGAAAGCTGCTAGGGCAACACCATATTTCACTGAACCCAGGACATCATCAAATGTAAGACGCACCCCAAATTCAGAGGGTAAAAAAGTGAAGAAAAAGTGCAAATAGAAATTGATGAACCAGGATATTTCCTCAAGTGAGCTTCTTGAAACACTAGTTTTGAGGTATTGTGATCAATAATTACAAAAGAAGGAGTTAATTCATCCAATAGATCTGAGGAACACTGGTTTTGAAAATTAAATAGATTTTTGTCCTCACTGCAACATGTTTTATAAACTACCTAAAAGTCGTGAGGCTAAAACAATTGAAAATAGTGTTTGTGATTGTAAATGTTTGTGACCCAGTGCGAAGTATTTTATTTCAAATCATTCTTTCTGTGAAACAGATCGAAGGACTAGTGTTTCTGGGATAACCTTTGAGAAGAACCATAGAATGGACTAGATAGACCAAGGCTTGGGGGTGCCAGAGAGTAGGTGCCGGTAATACCAATACAACAAATCACCTCAGGAATCTACTTTT